CTTTCGAAATGTATATTAATACATTTTGACCTACAATAATTACATTTGAATAATTTATTAAAACAGAATATTAAATTCAAATTCATATTCAATTACGAATAAGGAATAACTGTGATTTCGATGTACCCTCAATTTCTATTCAAAAAATTCTTAGCCGATCAAAAGTCTTAGTTTCGATGAAAAGAATTCGGGCGAGCGAACAATCAAGACGTTATCAGCCGCTGATTGCAGGGAAGAAAATAAAAGATTCTGGAGGCCCATACGGGTATAAAATGGAAAATCGAACATCGACAGTCACGAGGATCTCGAGCTTAATCCAGAATGACGCTCGACGATATTAAAAGCTCGTCCTTCCACCGTTTCCGTTTCCGACTTTTGTAATTTCCCGTAGCTTTCAGTATTCGTGCACGGTTCGAAGGATTTATCAGCGATGATGGCTGGTTATGTGTGATGCGAGTTGCACCGTGTACGATGTCGATTTTGGGTTTCATTCACGAATAAATATCAACGTAACGCGTGTATACGCAAGTTCTCCGGTGAGAATCATTTGATCGTCGGCGTTCGAGCTTTATACAGTGAATCCGTCTACAATAATTCTTACTGTATACTTATATTTCACACAATTACACTAAACATAGATAGAAAATTATAACGATCTATAAAACTTCATTCATGTCAGAGATTTTAGCCAAATTTACTTTACAGATTGAAAATATTGTCTCCTACAAATTGTAAAATTTATGTAAAAGCAGTGCTTGCGTTCTGCTTGCACATCTGACAAAAATCGAATCTTATTGAAATTTCTGTGTAAAAACGTACTACAATTCTTTTGGATAAATTAATGAGCCTCCTTAAAATATTTCCAAACGCTTTCATAAAATTATATAGCAGAATGGATGCATATGAAATGGACAATCATCAGGATCTTACCTTTTTGAATGCTTCGAGTCGACGATGAACGAGGAATGGATTTGAAGCACTTGAAAGAGACGCGAGAAAAACGAATTACCACGGGCGTATTAGATTGCAATTACTTCACTAGATGACACAAAAGGCGATTTTTCGGGCTCTAGAATACAGATATGTATATTCACGGTTGAGGAGAATCGGTGGAATGCAAGTCGTTCAACAAGTGGCCGCTTTTATACAGCGACGCGCTAAGTACTAGGTGTTGTAGCGCAAGCGTGGCCGGCGACCAGACAGAACGAGGGACAATTTCAGTGACTAATCCTTGCGATCTTAAGGGACTACCGATAAACAATCTTATGCTTCTACGCACAATCCCAATTAATTTTGTTGAATGTCCCCTTCCCTACCCATCTCTTCCTGTTATAATTGCTTATATTGCACGTATATCTTGAAATACAGCTTTTCTTGTTATTCCGCGCGTAATTGCCCTGCTAATTAATCGATGATTAACAAAATGAAGCTACTTTACAATTTGTTAATTATTATTTATATTCTAATAAAAAGAGCTGTATGCATTTTTAATCGTATTTACTGATCTAAAATTTTGATCGAATCATATATGTACATTCACTACATTCATTGATTATGATATGATATTCTTTGTCATCAATTATGCTTCTACGCACAATCCCAATTAATTTTGTTGAATGTCCCCTTCCCTACCCATCTCTTCCTGTTATAATTGCTTATATTGCACGTATATCTTGAAATACAGCTTTTCTTGTTATTCCGCGCGTAATTGCCCTGCTAATTAATCGATGATTAACAAAATGAAGCTACTTTACAATTTGTTAATTATTATTTATATTCTAATAAAAAGAGCTGTATGCATTTTTAATCGTATTTACTGATCTAAAATTTTGATCGAATCATATATGTACATTCACTACATTCATTGATTATGATATGATATTCTTTGTCATCAATTAAAATTAAAAGAACGTGGAGTTCGAATATTTTAAATACAGTTTAACACATTACATGTTCTGTATACTTTCAGAATATTATGTTCTCCCATATGTGTATAAAATCAGCAGTCTGTGGTAGTCATTTCTCGTCTCGAAACGCTGAATCGGAATCACTATATGAATTAAAAACAAAATTATTCTATTTAGAAGTTTCTCTCTCTCTATCAAAAATCTTTGGTTCTTCAGTTTTTAAGAATCGGTAACGTCAGATTACGTGCACCTTAAAATCAAGCAAGTTTTATGTAGCAAATTTTTTCTATTATCAAAAGTACATGAGTTATTCAGGTGATCTGTGTTTAACATTATACGCTATGTTTGATTATTACGTACAATTATTATATTTGACTTCATTATTATATTCTACCTTTACTTTCGGTCATTAAATACTAATATATTTGTATGAATTTAAACTTTAAATCAAAGAGCTACAGTTAAATACATTTACACACATTACTTAATGCCTTTAGTACTATGTACATTTGTTAAGCCATAAAGCGACGTATTTGTTTCTAAAAACAATCGTTATCACATACGCGTGTAGCGTATCAGAATCCTTCAAAGTTTTACGACTCGGAAGACATATTTGCTGTTTACCGTTCAGTTTACAACTAACAACAATCGTTATTCGAAATGTCATAATTATACGGTAAACGTGAACATATACTAATTGTAAGTTTTTGTTATATAACTTTGAAAGTGAACTTGTTACATATGAAAACTTGTTGCGAACATGATTTACTCTATCAATGTC